TTAATGCTTGTTCTTGTTCTCAGGCAAAGCCAATGCTTTGACGTCGCTTCAACTAGAATTATTATAATTATTATATACACATATATACATATATATATATATATATGCATATATATATATAATTACATTTATTTTCGATGAAATCGATTAAAATGCGAATAGAAAGTAGACACGTTTTTTGTAAAATAAAATTTTCCTAAATAATGACGCTTGAATAGACACGTAAATTACACATAGTAAGCATAATGCTTAGAAAAATATTAATAACATAGTTATTTAGCATTTTGACGGTTGGGCCCAGCTTCGCCATAAATTAGTGTTGCGCTTATAGAGGTTTTTCCACAAAAAGTGTGGTAATACCTATACTTAACCATCTTTATTTTAGAAATAAACATTTATATTGCTTGCCGAGTTACATCGACTATTATAAAACCATTCAGATGGTGTGATTCGGATTTTTTTGATTTCACGAACTTATTTATCAACGACCGCTAGACACGAACTTAACTCACTCCAAGCGCAAACAAATATATATAAGTGTATGTTTTTTAGAAATGTCGGACGTTGATAAGCTAATAATTATATTAAAATTTTGTATTAAATAAATCATACATATTTACATACAATATATTGATGCTGTCAGCAAAATTATAATAGATTATTATCAATGGAAGTGTCAAAAATATATAGAATATGTAACACATACTTGTATAGTTTCAATTACTTTTTATTAAAAAGTAAGCGGATGAATATACATTAGTCTATAAAATATATACTCGTATATAGATGTCTAATCACTCTTCTGCTCCTATTTAAGGTACTCTACAAATTTTTTAAGCTGTTTTTGAATGGATACTAGATTCTTACGTATTTTCATCGAATGGATACGACCGGAAATTTGTTATTTTTCCGTATTTTGATCGGCTTCGGAAAAGAAGTTTTGATATTAGTCGAAGACTGGTCCAGCGTAATGACCCCGCGCCCCTCTAATCACCACATCATAATGCATCGCTTATGCAAGCCGATATACCAACTGATCAAAGCTGAGCTTGACTAGCCCACATCAACTAGTGTGTGTTTGGCAAAGTTTTGGCGACTTTTACCATGGGAAAATAATTGAACAACCAATTCATGAAATTTGGTGTTTCTAATGGATTCACGGCTATGGAATCGTTGAAAATGTTTCCGAAGTGTGTTATTAGAGTCCCCAATTTATGGTATTACGAACACAAGTATTTGAGTGGCAAAAAGCATTCAGTAAAGGTCGTGGAGTCATCTAAAACTTGCCTCATGCGAGTCATCCATTCCCCTCGGTTAATGACGATAACATGGAAAATAATAAAGAAACAGTGCTTGAAAATGTGCTTGTTGGGATCAGAGAGAAAGCAGGGTATCTCAATATCTTTTATGAATCGACTTAACCATTTGGGTTAATATTTTGGGTATAAAGCGTGTCAATGCTAAACTCATACCAAAAAACTGGAGCCTTTTGCAAAGCCGACGTCGAATAAAGAACGCAAAAGAGATGATTTCAGTTTTTTTATGGATTTAATTATGACCCTGAATTTGGTTTAAATATAATATTTATTGCGGAATAAAATGCTACATAGAAGTAGGCGTGGTCATGGCCCACAATTGCTAAACTAGGCGCATTTTGAAATTATCATTCATTTTGATTAAATGACTCTTTTATCTGTTAAATTGACTTGATTAGATAAATATTTAGGTGCTTATCTGACAGACTGTAGATATTCAACTAATTACAATGAACACAAACAAAACAAACAAATATACGAGTATGTAACAATTTTTCGATCAAATTGCAGTACGTAATTTGAGGTTAGCGTATTTCGCAAATTGCTTTGTAAGTGAAAGGTGTCACTCAAGTGAAATGAAGCGGATTAATTAATTGCTCAATAGTTTCAATAAGTGTTGAACACTTTACACTTACATGAATTTCAAGCGATGCGGACTTGAAGTATGTGCATCTTCAGTTCTGAGAAAGGCCTATCAAACAATATATGTTGGTATGGAAGAGGCGTAAGTCGCATATGTCGTTATAAAGATACAATACAGAGTGCTTTAAATTTTGAGCTAATCTATTTTGGTAAAAAATTTGTAATTGAAAAATAAACTCTAACGGTCACTTTCTCCATGTCTGGTTAACAACTATATGTCTGTTAAGTTCTGGTTAACTCAACCAAAACTCCTTGGCCAAGACTCCTTCTTGCGGTTAAGTTAATCAGAAGTTAACTGTTAACCAGACATTGATAAAACAGCCCTAAGAATTTTATTTTAAAATGTAAATCTTCTAAGCAGACTTTAGCGTTATTCGTGGCTTCGACGTAGGCTACTTTACCTGGAGACCAGAGATATTATGTTAATCATCAAGCGATAAGGGCTAATAATATAGTTGGTATAACACAAAACCGCTTAACCTAACATTTTTTTTACATATATATACAACCGATATTCACTGAAATAGAAGCGCTATAAACGTTTCCGTTTGAACGATCAAAATCAAGTTCTTATATGGAAAATTTTTGGATTTGCTAAGATATCTTCACGAAATGTGACATGAAACGCAACAATCTCCGAACAAATTGTTGCGATCGGACCACTATAGCATATAGTTGCTAAAAGCTGACCCATTAAAATCAAGATACAGATCTTTTTCACCATTTTATTCCCTAAGAAATGCATCTGTGAAGGGTATTTATTATAGATAATAGCTTCGCTTAGCTTTTTTCTGATTTTTTATTTTTGTATTTCAACAAATTTGAAGTGTTTTTGTTTTAGAGATATGGGCATGTACGTGATTTAGAATAATTTATATTTATTTTTATGTAAATACCAAAACTCGCTAAGAATACAATTATAGAAGCAAAAAGTGGCTCAAAACGTCTCAACGGTTAGTTGGATATTACGAAAAAGTATAACCAGCAATGTGGTAGTATTTCTATTTTACTGGTCACATGCTGTACAAAGCTGTACTTCACTCGGCACTGTTTTCTAAAAAAGAATAATTTACCCATTCAGGAAGTTATCTTTCTTAAAATATAAGTCGAATTAGCGTAAAGAATTAAGTTGCAATCTTCTGAACTTCAGAGCTTAAAACATATATACCGGTATGTAGCACCAAGCCGCAAAAGTATCCATTACAAAACCTTAATAGAGTATAAGATTTGTAATAAAATGATTTAAAAATATTTTTGGAAAATTTTTTTTAATTAAAATAAATTTTTTGATAAACTAGGACTTTTAGTTTTTTCAAAAAAATATTAAGCAGATTTGCAAAAATTAATGTTAAACTTTAATAATTGACGATTTATTTTGAAAAGTTTTGGATTGCCTTGATCCCGTAGCCAATCTCCAGGACCTCCGAAAAAAGGTGTCCGGCGGCGAGGAAAATTTTTCTGCTTAAACTTAACTCAAATTCGAAACTTCAAAATTATTATTATTTTAATAGATGAATACAGGTAATTATCGAAGAACTAGTCAAAATTTTGATTTTTGTCAAAATGGCGGCTTCCCCCAAAAAATATTTAATTTTTGGTGTAAAATCTTACACTTCAAAGCATAAAAAATCGAAAATATCAACAAAAATCTTTCTTCTTCAATCATTATCTAACAAATACATCTAAGAAGGTCGTGGGAAAATTTCAAGTCGATCGATTGAGAAAATTTTCGGCGTTGAAAACGGCGTTTTGAGAAAAACGTCTTTGGGAGCCGATTACACTAAGTTAAAATTTTTTTAAAAGAACGCTCATATTTCCGAAACTACCGAAACCGAAGCAGAATCAACTTAAAATTTTCGGAGAATATTCTCAAATATACAAGTACATATGTATGTATGTATGTGCATCGGTAAGCAAAACAATAAATAGATATTTTCAAATTCACAAGTGGATAAAAATCCACTTAAAATCCATCCTCTCTCAACAGATATTATTTAGGAGCATAAGTCTCGCATTGAATCTGGACATACCGGATATCAAAATCCATAACCCTCATCAAGCTAGTGAAGGACTTGGAGCTAATCTTTTTGAAATGATAGCTCATTTACCGTTACTTGATGTCGAAATTCGTAATTAGATAAGTTTCTCAAATGGATTTAGATTTATTCTACATAAACAACATGCTATATGTATTTTTCTGCTAAACTATAAAACACTCGGAATAAAGAGCAGAAGTATTTGAAGGTCGACGTACACTAAGTACATACAGTAAAGCTTTTTCTTGACTAGGCGACACAATGACACGAGCATGTGTACACAATAAATAAAAATATTATGAGAAAACTACACAATAAATAAAGATATTATGAGAAAACTGTTATACAAAACGACAGAAACTGTTGTAAGCTAATGAAGATACGAGGAGAGTAGCATGTAGCGGCTAAACGTGCTAATTTTCAAAGCACGACTTTATTACATACTTACACTGTCGCTCAAATAAGTATACACATAGATACCCAACAACAAATATTGCCTACAGATAGACTTCAAGTGTGTTCAATTTGCATATTTCTTCAATTGTTGTCGTTTCTTATCTATCTATATTTAGAGAGTGAGGGGCTTAAAAATTACTGAGCTGCGCTTAGTTGAAATGTCTTTTTTGTTTATTTAAGTATTTAAAATAAATAAGCGATTGGAATACTATACGAATATATTCTTAAGTTATTATTGAATGTCAGAGAGTATAACGGAAATAGAATAATTGTTATCTGAAGTCTTAAAGGGCATGAAAAAACCTGTACAATTAAAAATAATAATAAAAATTAGCATGTACTTGAATTTCAAGCAGTTTTAGCCGAAATTAAATATAGAAAAAAAAAACAGTTTATTATGATAATTTACTTTACGTGCAAAACACTTTATTAATTCTTTCTTTTTATACCCTGAACAGGATATATTAAGTTTGAAGCTGCTCAGTTGTCGAAACCGCCAATATCAGACCACGAATCAAAATCAAGTTCTTGTATGAACAACTTTTTTTTTTGACAAGATATCTTCACGAAATTTGACATGGTTTATTGGCTAAGGCAACTATAATTCGCCATTTTGTTTTAGATCGGACTACTATTGCATATAGCTGTCATATTTTGGAAAACTTTTTTTATTTGTTAAGGGTATTATATTATAGCTTTAGTGTAAACGAAGTTCACGTTTTTTGTTGTTCATTTTTCTTCAATTATTGACTGCGGCTTGACAGCCGACAGAAGCTATCGTTAACAGGTCACAATTTATCGATTGTTGAACTTTAGTTGGCAAGAGACAGTGGTAAAATCAAAACAGCAAATGCGCGCAACACTCACGGGCTAACATATGCCCGTGAGCCTACCAAACTGTTGGTTGTTTGCTGGATCCCAAGCGCATACTTTGCAGTCATTAGCGTGCAAAATTGCAAAAAAAGAACAACAAACATTGCGTTCAATCATGATTCCAGCGCCTGTGGCCCACGAATAAGTATGATAAACGATAAACAAAAAAAAAAACCAATAATAATATTTCAAAGTATACAACTGCGAATAGGTACATAAGCACGCGATGGGGGCATTGAACTGCGACAGAATCATATTAACGCGCGCCACTTGCCAGGTAATTTCTTTTACTTTTTTATTTGTGTTTTTAATTCAATTCTTTCGTGCGTTTCTTCTGCAGCATCGGCGAGAATATGCTAATGAATCAAGTAATGGAAGGCGACGAAGTCGGCCAAAACAACAAAACCAGCATAATAAGTGCTGTAGCTGCAGAATATAGAAGCGGCACAAATAATAACATAAAAAACAAAATAGAAAAGAGCAAATGTAGGAGCAACTGACGTGTCACATTTACTTTTGAGGGAATGAAGAGCGCATGCACAAGCCACAAATAAAGCCGCACTTTAACTTCGCGCTGCATTAAGGAGTGCCTACCACAATTAGCGACAGTGCCGTACAAATTTTATTTGTTCCTACCTATCTACTGGTAGGTAGCCAAGCGAAATATTGCGCCAAATTTCGGCGAAAAACCACAAAATTGAATAAAAACAGCACAGTAGCCAAACAATATGACGACCACAACAAAAAGCGTTGCCTAACAACGTAAACTTTGGCGCTCCCCGAATTTCAGCATTATTTCTACTCTACTTTGCATTTTGGAAAATGCAGGCCGCCACTAAGGTTGACAGACCCGCAAGTGTTTTGCATTTAAAAACGCCATGCCGCACCTCCCTAGGGAGCTGCATTGTTTGCTACAGCTGCCCAATGCTTCCACGTGTTCCGTTTCCGTTGTTTCGGGCATGAGTTTACACTGGCGCTGCTTTCGCTGCTGCTGGCCGTCACTGACATTGTACATTCTTTATTGCTTTTTAATTTTTTTTTCAGCGCAGTTGCTTTGCTTTATTTATAATTTTTTCAAATTGTTATTATTGCAATGAAACGTTTCTTAAAGGTTAATATCTATATGCAATTAAGTGCATTTTTGGGAAAACATTCATAAGTCTACTAAACGAAATAACAAAAGTCGATGTCTTACCTCAAATTATTTGCATATCTCTTCTCGAAATTCTTCAAACAATCTGTTAGGTACGCCTCCTAAAAGATGTGACACACGCTGCAAAAACACTGTTTTGCGCCGGCACCTTGAATGCACAACCTGCAAATCGCCCACACCGAAAATCATCTATCATTTGTGGCTACCCACCGCCACCTGCGGGGGGGATTGTTTTGGTTTCAATTTCCAATTGCCCGACGCAACAATTTAATATGAAACCCCATAAACACACCAAAAACTCAAAACAAATCACTAAAAACCGTATAAAAAAAAAACAAAATTGCACTTAAATTTCCTTTATTTGCTAAATATGATGCACTCGAAATTTGTTGCACATACACACACTCACGCGGGGCGCTTCTTCACCCACCACATGCAAAGTGAAATTTCACTTGTTCACTTACGGAAAAGCGCAATTGGTACGTGATTTTTATGTAAATTATACTAAAAACTTTACGCGATGGATGCTCTTTCTATTCTGGGAGCTATCTACTTTGACCACACGCTATGTTTTGGTGGAAATTCTGTTTACGACTGGTGGAGCTGCACCGCCAAGGAAAAATCAACAACCGACTACTGACTAATAAGAAATTTGACAGAAGACTGACCGCCTCGGAACATTTGTTTTTCCAATTCCAATTGGTGGATTTCGCATACATATGGTGTTGCCAGCACTCCTACTAAAAAAATTCTCTTAACTTGCAATATGTCTTGTTCTTTAGAAATTTATTTTTACTTAAATTAATGCTTGTCAAATTGCAAAAAGTTTCAATAAAATAATGTTTTAATTGTATGCCACATTTACTATGTTTCTAATAAATAAAGTGCTTTGAAATATCTGGCTATAAAATTATAGCAGGGTGTTGTAGAAGATAATTTTTTAAGTAAATTATCCGAAGTACAGAGTGACTAGTAGTAATGTTTTGTTTAATACTTGTTAGCTCATATGTTGGTTTATTAGGGTGTGAATCTGAATGTAAAGAGTTATTAGACATAAATTTTGTGCAATTAAATATATTTGAAGCACTAAATTAATACTTTTATTTTTTGTTTCATTATAATAAATGTCTATAGAATTTAATTTACAATGCTGGGAAAAAATATATATTTAACTGCTCATTTGATTACACATCACATTTGGAAAATGTACATAACATACAAATAAAACTAAGAGGTCAACTAAATTTAGCTACATTCACACCCTTCGTTTTCTTCAAGCCAATCGAATATTTTTAACCGCTCTCTACAAAATTTCCGCTTGGAAGGTCAGGGGATTGTCAAGTTTTCATGAACTATCTGAGTGGTCGGCAACCATCCGCACTAAATCTAAATCAAAATTTTAATTTAAAAAGAATTATACTGAGGGTTCCGCAGGGTGATGTCCGCCCCCCGCTACTATTTAAACTCCTTCATAAGCAGATGATTGTACAATACTGACGTCAGGCAACGGAATCGATGGCATATATTCGAAAGTAAACAGCTATCTCACCGATCTTTCTCGCTTCTTTTCTGAAAGGAGCCTGACACTCTCCCCCACTAAATGCATAGCGCTGGATAAAGGAGTGCAGACTGTTTCTTAATATCACAGTCGATGGCGTTGAAATTCACATACGATCGCGATTAATGCCAAAGTACAGGGTCGCAACAAAATCCTCAAGTCGCTAGCCAGCACCTCCTGGGAAAAGGACAAAGTAATATTACAGGATGTAAAATTAGGGAGGCCTGTATGCTTCAAGGAAATGTGCTCTGATGTCTCTCTCTTTGGTCACAGATCCGTAGACTAGTAACCCAAGCTGTCCAGATTACCTTAGCCTGCAGTCAGCTGTATAAAATCTCACTAACTGTGTTAAGTTATTCCTGGGAAGCAGAACAAGTTTCTTGAATCGTTTTGTATCAAACGTTTCAAGAGGTTTTTTCGGTAAATGATCCTTTCCCCTTTCCGTAACTCCTCACGTAGTGTGTGGGGAACCTCAGCAAAGAACGCCTATTCCTTATGGAGTTACTTACTCATTCTACTTGCAACACTTTTTCGAGTGAATTACGTTAAGTTGTTCGGTGATAAGTTTCGCGAAATAAAAACAAATTTTGTATACGTTAAAACGCTTAATCGATTTACTTAAATAATTATCTTATTGTTGCTTCAATATTCAGAAATCGGTTATACATATATTTGTATAAAAAATTCTTTTATATATAGATTGAACCAAACATAAAACAAAACAAATACAACAAAATTGGGAAACAAATTGAAACGGTAAACAAGAAAACAGAAATTCAAATATAGAGTTACTATAACTGTTTTTTAGTTCAACACCTTTACGTTTCGCTTCCTAGAATTTTTATTTATTTCTTTTTTTATTATTTATAGCAACAATTCTGATTGGTAAAAAACAAATACAAATACATTTTACATACAGCAACGTACAAGCACATAAAGAGTGTTACATTAATGCTTTTGTTTTTGCTTTTCAATGCCCTTATTGAATTTCGAATTTCTTCGGCCGAGTGTAATTTGTTTTTTAATTACATTAGCAATTCAAAAAATTTTTTTTTGTATTTTCAAAATTTAAATTTCTTTTATTGCTACTAAATTTAAATTTGTTGTTGTTTTGTTTACTTAATGTACCGCTAATGTGCGCGTACGCGCTTTCGTGTATATAAATTTGTATGTATTTTTGTATTTTTGTGTATGTATGCGTTATGATCTATATAATATGTAAGTATGTACAATTTTAACGGCTACGCTTAATATTGATTTGGTATATGCTTGACAAGATTTTCACGTACGCTTCGTTTCTTTGTTTTCATTCACTTCCACCTTCTGTTGCTCTTACTCACACATCCGTTTTGCTGTTACTATTCTTTGTTATTAATATTTTTTTTTTTTTGTTTTTTAGCGCACTATTTTTGATTCTTTTTCTACTTTACGTTATGTGTTGTTGTATTCAACTACGGTGAAATGCGTTGCAATATTTGCTTTAATGGTTATTTCGTTACTTTCTTCTCTATTTGCTGTTTATTGTTTTGTTTCTAACATTTGTGATGTGTATTTTTGTGTATGTGTGTGTTTCATTTAGTGTTGTAGTTATTGTTTTCATTTTCAATTTACATGCGTTTACTTGTTGTTTGTTTCTTGCTTTATTTGTTGGACATTTGATGACCACAATTTTTCGAGCCTAAACCTAAATTACATAGCTATGTATATATGTAAATATAGTTGTTTATATGTATGTATGCTTGTATATTCAGTTAAACTTAATTTTTAACCATCATCCATAGAATTATACCACAATCGCTTAAATTTAATTGTTGATTTTAGTTTTTATCCAATATACATATGTATATGTGTATATATATATGTATGTATATATATATTATCAAATTTATTTATTTATGAAATGATATTGACATTTGAGTAAAGTGTACTGGGTCCAAGTAACAACTCGTCCATGTATGCTACGCGCTTGCATCCACCTCCCCAAACCGGTTGACGTGGTGATATTCAGTATCTGCACTTGCCTCACATACATACATACAAGCATATGTACATTCCTGTACATTTGTAAATTTCTTGATTTGTGTTTAATTTTTTTGTTTTGCTTTATTGATGATGGTGATTTCTCATCGCGGCGGGGAGTTATTGGCTCAACATAAACATTTCTTTTACTTCTCAATTACAATTCACAACATTTCCTATACTAAAAAACTATTTTTTGTTTTGTTTTTGCTTTAGTGTTAATTTTTTTTGTTATTTTCTTTTTTTTTGCTTGTTTGCTTGTATGAAAGTGTTTACAATTTAAGCCAAATCAAAAACAGTCAACATGAAATGAGCAAAAATCATATACAAAACTTATATAGACGATCACAATTAAATAACTAACGCACACTGGGCTGCAGTGTACAGCACCTTTTTTTTTTGTTTTGAGTCCTTTTACATTCGCCTTCAACGTTCGTTACTTGCCATCATATATTATCGTTGTTATTGTTGCTGCAGTTATTGGTGTTTCATTTGTATTTAAGGTTTAACGGTGCGAAACATGGCTTTGCAGTTACCGTGCATCGTATACTGCTGCTTTGTAGTTGTGTTGAGTTGATTTGAGTTCGGTTGAGTTGCTGCTGCGTTGGTACCTTCTATTTTTTAATATTACTGTTATTACGGTTATGACCGTGGGCCACATGTATGCCCGTATACCCTCTTAACACATCCCGACTTCACCTCATATAATATATATACAATACAATTTAAATCACAACAAAACTATTGCATATTCATATTCATAAACGATAAGACACACAGAATATACGAACATACAATATATATATATATATCTTATTTTTGCATTTTTTTTTTAGTTTTTTCACCATTTCTTCGTTTTTTTTCATTTACTTGCTTATGTTTTTTTTTTTATTTATATATATAATTTAAAGTTTATGTTATTATGTTCACCTATTTTTACGTCACAGTATAAAAAAGAATTTACAACTAATTTCTATTTATTATTATTTGCTGAATATATATTATATCACTAGATTCATTATTACTCAATAAATTGATTAGTTATGATTCCAATTCATCTCTCTCACTAAAACTGTACTGTATAATTAATTAACGTGTAGATGGAACGTAAAACGTAAGAAACAAAAAGAAAAAAATATAAAAAGAAAAAAAATTATAAATTTGAGTTATCGTTTAATATTAAAATTATTATTGACTTATTTACTTAGTGAGGTTTAACTAGTCGCCTGGATGCTCGGGGCAGGATCGATTCACCTCGAACCATCGATCGATGCAGCTGCAAGAGAATAACGCTTATTAGTGGAGAGTTTCAAATTGTTTGCAAAAGGTGTGTAGACTTACCCTTTATGATAAATACATAAGCACGGCAATCGTGCAATAATATCACCGGGATTCAAATCTTCTAAGCAAATTACACATTCGCCTTTGGCATCGGATAAAACATCCTCTGAAAGAAATGAGAAGAAAAGGCGATTATGTTGAACCTTTGAAATTAAAATAGGTGCCACTGCATATGTGTGTAATTGAAAACATAAAAATATGTGAGGCGTAAAAAACATATTTAATAAAATTTAATGCGAGAGTAAATTAAGTATAATACAATAACATATGAAAAATTCAATCAAATAGCAAATTAAATATGGTATAACAGGATACACAAATTTAGTAAAATAAAATTATGTTTTATATCATAAAAAATATTATAAATAAAATAGTAATTAAAATTACAAATAAAAAATAAAAATTCAAAGTAAGTACTTAAAACAAAATTATTTAAAATAAAAGTAAATAGAAAAATTATAAACAAATAAAAAACTAAGCTCAAAGGTTATAAAACATAGGGGCCGTTTATATATTACGTCATTCTAAATTAGGGGGGGTCTGCGGATGACGGTAAAGTCAAAGTCGGTAAAGACGGTGTCTTTAAGAAATGACGATAGGATGATTATAGGGGGGGGGGGTCTAAAATCTGAAAAAATCGATGACGTAATTTATGGACGGCCCCATAGCAAAATTAATTATAAATATATAATAAAAATAAAGTAAAAAATAAATAAATTTTAATCAAAAATAATGCAAACATTTAATATTATTAGTGTGAAATAAATTAAATGAAAAATAAAATAAAATTTAATAAATTAATACAATAATTAAAATCAAAATACTGTTAATAAAATGCAAAAATAAGTTTTTGAAACTAATTCATTTTAAACTACTGATTATACTAAGAGGATAATGCCGATAAAAAATATTTTATGCTGGAAGTTTTTAAAAACGAATAAATTACTAAAGTGTGGTAGGGTAGTAACTTTTGCAACACTTTTCCAGCCTTTTTTGATATAGCCTTTAAGATCTTTTTCTATACGGTTTTTATCTACACAATCATGTCAAAATGGCGTTCCCGAATTGGTCTTTTGAGTTTGCTGAATAGCCAGATGTCGCACGGAGTCAAATCAGGCGAATACGGAACGATTTGAATCCGGTTTTGGGGCAACAAAAAGTCGTGAAGAATCAATGCGAGCGATTTTGGCGACAATCGAGAATTGACGCGTTCGAGACAAAACAAACAAAAAATATTTTTCAAAATGAGTTGGGCTGAGCCAATATTTCAATACTATAAGCGAGGTCTCTAATAGTCAATCGACGATTTTCAAGCACCAAATCTTTGATTTTATTTTTTTGGGCGTGGCCCTCGTCGATAGATAGTTGTCGTGTCTGCACAAGAATATTCGTTCTGCATACAAAATTTGATGCGAGTTCTTTGCTCAACAAAATCAACCATTGCAAAAATCGAAAACCCACTTTGGTTGCTTACAAAAACGCGTGTAGCTTGGAGATAATTAAACCTTCTGACAAACAGACACTTGTCAAACGTTTTAGACAGTTCTACTAACATTGAAAAAAATTTAACTGCCTTCCTTAGTTTTAAATGGCAAATTTACCTTACTTTTTGATTATAGTAGTAGGTAGTGTGGCAAGCACAACTGAATAAACATTTAAACAATATTTTTTTATTTTGTAATTCCGAAAATCTTAGTAATAATAATTTTAAAATTAATCTTATCACAAATACCGGGATGAAAAAATAAAAATAAATTTTATAATCCCAAAATCGAGTTAAAAATAAAAACTGATCATTTTAATTCCAAATACCGGATAAAAATGTCTTTAGTTCATAAATTAAAATGAAAAAAAAAATTGTGTTTGCAAATTTTAAATTATTTAACGCTTGCGTCCTCCGTGGTCGACCATTTTGGTTACTCTTAATTATACGTAAATTATTCTTTTCTATACTTTTACATTCCAGGTTTTGATTTAAAAAAAAAATGTTTTCAATTGCTTTTCGAATTTTTAAATTAAAAGGTACATTATAGTTGACTCCAAGTTTCGGATTAAAAAATTAAATTTTATATTTTTAATTTCGATTTTCAGTTTAAAGAATTTGATTTCCAATTTAAATCCAAAATTTTTCGACACTTTTCGACACTGGTACACAAATCATGAAATATTTCACATTTTAACGACAAATTCGATTTGTACAATACATGTTACCAGTCATATAAATTGGACTGTTTGCCATACATTATATTAGTTTCGAAAGGACGACGGGGCGTATACGTTATTTTCTACCATATATTTAAACGAAGCGAAATGGGAACAAGTAAGGAAGGGCTTAAGTTCGGGTGTAACAAATCATTTTATACTCTTGCAACTTGCAAGGATCAAAGCAGCGAAAATACCTTCAGGTGTTAGGAAAACTTTATATCAAAAAATATTGCGAAACAATTCAAAATTCATTATTCGACGAAATCGTAAATTGATTACAAACAAATTTGGTATTTTTTAAGTTAAATTATAGGTTAGAGTTTTATTACTATATTTTACTTCACGCCAGTTAAAAATGTATTAAAATCATCTTCAAAGAAGATATATGGGATATAAACTCAACTGAGGAGCTAAATTTAATATAATAGGATCGCAATTAATTATTTCATGGACCTAAGGTTTGGACCAATATCTAGACCAATTTTACTCATATTCCCACATAATTTTAAGAAAACTACTTCATTTAATTTTAATAAAGTTTCACACATTTTGTCAGATGGAAAGGCGGAAATTATTATGCAAGCTATATTGGGGACAGAGAAAGGGATAGGCGTTAATTTTGACATTGCTGAGGTATACTAGAGAACATATTTTCAAGCAATTTTATAAATATGTAACTCACACAGTGAACGAACATTAAGGTTTGTTAGAATAACGAAAATCAATATATTATATGAAGGGGAGTTGAGGTAATTCGTAGATTAAATTCAAATCGTTTCGACATTAAACTATAGTATAACTCATATTATACGTTGAACTATTCAATATTAATCAGTTAATTTTGCTACGATATCTTGCATATTGACTGATGGCATAAGGCCAACCGGAAGTTTGGAAATCTTATGTTAGATATATGGGAGACAGGAGTAGTACTTACTCGATTTCATCTATTTCTATATCTATTTTTTGGCAATACAACATACTATTAACAGAATGAAATGCTTCCTGAATTTCATTAAAGTGCCTCACATACCGTCACCAGCATACAAGTATATGAAGTAAAATCAAACAGATGTTTGAAAATTCTGTAGTTAGTTATATGGCGGCTAGGGCAAAGTTTTTATCTGATTACACATAAAGATAGGCACAAAGATACATGCTATTAGGACAATACGACCTCTCATTTTTATTAAAAAAAACTCATATATTGGCCGATATATGTAGTATAAAGTCACCCGGGAGTTCGAAAATATGTATATAATATATATAAAATATATATATAATCCGATTTCATTAATTTTCTCACTGTTGGTAGGGGTTCTTAAACAATTCGCCTTAAGCAAATTAGGATTTTGTAGTTAATTTAGTGCTTAGTTATGGCACTTTATAGGTTTTCTATTAGTTCTGCTGTCCAAACTCCAACTCTGTGTCAAGGTGATCGGAGCGGATATGTAATAAGCATGTTCGTCAGCTCATCTTTTGACGTTGTATTTGTTTTTTAATTAAAACCGTTATTTACGTTTTACTGATTTTCTGCTAATTTTCACACTTAAAGCTAAACTTGTAGATATGTTTGTGTAAATGTCAGTATGTAACCGACCCTTTACATATAGAAAAGTGTAATTAAGTAAATAATTGCTTTGAATATTTGCCACATAAGAATGAATATTGCTTGCTAACTATAAATTACGCCAACAATTACATATATCTCTTATATAATGAATATATATTGCTGAAAGTTGTTTCATTCGTGTGTAATAGAGTTTTTCACAATTTGCATAAATTAAAATTACAGTAAATAAATAATAAAAAAGAGTAAAATATTTTATGCAAGTTGTTGTTTTGGTTTTTTTAATCTAATGACTGCACAATTTTTTTTTTAATTTTTTAATTAAATTATACGACTTGTAAGCACACATTTTAATAACAGCATTTTAATGGCCGATAATCTTGTTTTCACTCATTGTTTTTGTTGCTTTTTGTAATTATTTCACTCACCATTGTATGACAGTCGCGGCTTGGTGAGGCACATAACTAAATGGCATTCAATATCGTCGGGCAACACAAATTTGTTACATACTGGACACTTAATACCTGGAAGTACAAAAAAAGAACGGAAAATGTTGAACGTCACAAATATATACAAGTATGTAGGTATGTAAAATGTATTTGAAGAAATATTAGTTGGTGAATATTGGTTATTACGTAAATGTGAACTATTTGCGATGACTAATCGCTGCGTGTGAAGCGGAAAAGCGACGAATGCATCAGCTGCTCTGCACTTTGGAAGCAATCAACTTGTGATTGTTGAGCCAAATGTTCACGCAGACTTCACGCTGGTTTGATGGAGTTAAAGCACACACGCACACACACACATGCATGGACATCCGCACAAATACATACGAACATGCATTTGTGGTAAAAGTTAATTTTACAATTGGGGTTTGAACTTATTTTTAAAGGTCATGCGCGTTTATATAAAGTCCTAAGCGATTTATATTAATATGTTCTACATGCCGTTATTAGCATTAATTTTCTCAATAAAGAAATATTTACTCTGCGCGTATGCATGTGTACATGTAAGTTTACAAGCAGGTTGTGAGAAGTAGTAATTTTTTTTTTTTTTTTGAGGTTAGGTTCCGTGCCATACACGAGAATCAGCCGGTTAAGCTCATTGCAACTGTATGCCGCACTGGAAGGGGGATAAGGCTAATTAGTGCAAAAACTCGCATGTTTTTGTAAATTTTTTATAACGACGCAGTTCAAATTTCTTTATTAAAAACAACGATGCATTAAAGAATGACATTTACCGAACGTTATATAAAGTTTTCACGGCGAAATATTAAACAACAAAAAACGAAGCTATAGTAACTTTCACAACTCCGTTTTTTATAGCATAAAAGGGTATAAAATAAAAGGTTTATTCTAATTTTGATCGGTCAGTTTGAATGACAGATATATGCTATAATTGTCTGATCTGAACAATATTTGTAGCATTGCCTTGGATAATTAATTATGCTCGATTTCATGAAGATATCTTGTCAAATTAAAAAGTTTTCCATACAAGAGCTTGAGTTTGATCGTTTAGCTTGTATGGCAGCTATGTGTTATATTGGTCCGATATCGGGTATTCCGACAAACGAGCAGCTTCTTGATGTGTAAAGAACGTGTGCAAAATTTAAGACCGATATCTCAAACTGGCGGCAAACTTAATATAACCTGTTTGGGGTACAAAAATACGGCGATGGCAGTTATTATTTGAACGCATCTCGAAAAAACGTAGAACTGCGGAGCCCTTCACAACTTGGTGCTGGATCAACCAAAAAAAAAAATCTATATTCATTCGTTAGATAATAGTTTTCACAAGGTAATGCCGAGAGCGTTTCTTTAAATTCATATTTTTAATTTTTTTTAGAAGACTTTGAAGGAAAAAACTCGACTTTTAGCACAAAAGTTGGCTAATTTGTTATCGTAAAATAAAAATTATTAAACAATTTGAAAATACGGCTGGTAAAAAGATGTACACAAATAGTCCAATTGACTTGAAGTGTGGACACAATATGTAAAAAATATTATGCATTCAATTAAGATAAATATAAAACAAAACAGTTATACACCTTACCCCCCTTAATGAAAGACTACAATTAGTTATTAGCGTTTATACCTTCATATATGGTACATATTCATAAAATCGTAATTATTTTCTCTGGTAGGGTATTATTAAGGCTCTGTGCTAAGAGTGGAATATGGTATAAATAAATCTGGAATAAATCTCAATAAATCAGTTAACTTCAAAAATACTCAAAGAACACAAAACATTCTAGTAATTGGGACATTCTGAGAGAAATCTAATATTTTCTGTACGATGTTGGAAATCGAAAATATAAAGAGAATTAGGAAATTATGGAGTAAATACGACTTTTTGAGTTAAACAAAAACAATATTTACAAACGTAAGAAATAAAAATCACTATCTGCAAATCTGAACAAAGCAAAAATGTTTTATTTTTTTATTTTGTTCCAACGAGCTTAACATTGAAATAAACAATATATTTATTATCACTTATTTAGGGATTAATCGATACTTAAGATAACAAGTTCGAAAACTCCAGAAATATTGCATGAATCGTAATAGTTATGTAAGATTAAGTTTAATTATTTACAGTGCAGTTTAAGAAGTGATTTATTTGTTGAATAATTACAAGTGCTCTCATTGGAGACTTCCAATGGCTCAGCGCTTTCGTCGGAAGTTCTTTGAAGGATTCTAATAAAGGCTTAGCTAACATTGTATGAAAATAAGCTTCGCAAGAGTTGTATAACTGAGAAGAAACCCATTGAAAATGAACAGATCGAATCAGCTATCTAATGATTATCGTAAATTATGTTCTATCTTTTATTAAGTCGCTTACCAAACAGTTAGAGCAAACAACAAAGCTAAAAACTTTAGTTTAGTTAATCTGGAGAGGTTGAGGCACAATTTTTCTGCTTAAAAAACTTTCAAAACCTGAAAAATTCTATAAAATATAAAAATAATTATATAAAAAGCAACTCTGCAACTGTCGAAGAGTATGCGAAGTGATCTTTGGAGATCCCAAACACCCCTTATTGAGATGGATACTCGGGGATACAATTTTTTCACCTAGAAGCAAAGTTAGAGTCCTTATGACAGCCGGTTATATGGTTTGAATTGACCAGGATTGTATCCGACCGAGAGCTGTTCTTTCGACGATCAAAATCTGTTTGGAATGATACGTAGCAAATAACAAGTGAAATGAGTTATAGGCCCTCAATAGACCTGGTTAACCGACTATACTTGTATATTGTAACTGCTCGAGGTTACTGATCAAACCAAGATTAGATCAAGATTAGGAGGAATCAAGAGATATTCAATAAATTTATTATATTTATTATTATAACCAATTATGTTGTTGTTGTAGCGGGAGCAATTGCTACCAAGTTGACCGTGCTCGATTGCATAAAAAATCCGAGCCCGTTACCTTTTCGTGCACCCGACTGCCGTGGGAACGGTATGTAATTTCTCTTATATATCGTATATAGATTCGAGTTCAGGGTCTCATTAACGTCGCATACAATATGAAAGAAAGTTCATTAAACGTTTTTGGGGTACTTCATAGTTTAATGAATTGTGAAATCACACGCCGTTGACTCAAGTCAGGTTGTATTTATTTTTGCAATAAAGCTAATGGCAAAATATTTACTGAAGACTTTTGTTAAGTCATTTATGTTTGCATGCAAATGCGATAAAATGGTTATCTCTGTGATTAAATGGTCACGAAAACCGAAAATTCGCTTGTTCTACATGCAATTACCTAAAATAAATGCATGCGTAATATTCTAGGCCGACATTATTCCCATGACTGATCGTATTTTACTCACCGAGCGTTCTTATCAGAAGCGCTTGACGTGTACTTTGTTGCTCGCTGCTTATCGTTTTACGATCGATTCAAAACACTTTTTTTATTGTGCCGAGTAGAAGAAAATGTAAACACACAAGCAAATTAACGGCGAAAAGTGCTCTACATCTATTTATAGGTATTAATTGCGATTTGTTCTAGAAAATAATTAGCGCTTATAAACATGCATATATATATGTATATATATATATATATAGATATATATATATTATGGGTGCATATAAATAATAATAACGCATTAGAATATGGCATTATTTTGACCGCCTAATCGGCTGGCGCACAATCGATACCATATAATGGTCATTTGCACTTGCCCCTGTAATGCTTGGCCGATTGCGGTGTTTTGCCTTCGCGTTGACTGATTATTGCTATTGATCGTTCTTTCGAACCATAGTATGTTGGGGCTTAAGTATGTGACTATTGAACATTCTATTTAGGCGGGTGTGTCTATTGCTATTTATGTACGTACGTATGTTTGTATGAGGGAGTGTGTGTCTGTATGAATAAACAGGTGCTTAGGTATACAAAAAGTCATTAAGTCGTCAAACTATTTTTATTTTTTTTTAGATTTTCTTTTACTCTTTGGCTGCACTTTTAATGGCGTACTTGCAGTTTGCCGATTACGGTCTACTTACTGTACATTTCAATTGTGTTTTCTAATTTTTATGCTTATAGTTTTTGTTGCTAGTGTTTTTGTATTTTATTTATAGTTTTGCTGTTTCGTTTTGGCTATTTTATTAGGATTAGATTTTTATTTAATTTGAGTTTTAATTTACAAATTTGTTTACTATTTATATACATTTAAATTTTACTTTGTAATTATTTTTCGCTTGTCTTTCTGTTTATAAATTTAGTTTAACTAACATTTTTACTTTCGATAAACCTATTTTCCGTTTTTTTATATTTTTATGAATTTGTCATTTCATTTAATCGATTTTTTATTTTATTTATTATCTCGTATTTCTAAACGTCCTATTTTCCCCAAGGAGCTGCTCACTTGTTGCCGATTTCGGACCACTATTGCATACATGTGTATATGATGCAGTTGTCATATTAACTGAACGATCGGAAATTTTTTAAAATAAGTTGTCTTCTTTTTGTTTAATTTATTTGATATTATTTTCTTTTGCAATTTGAGATTCGCCATCCTTTCTTTTGGCCTTTATAAAATTGTAAATTATTTATTTGTTTATATATTTGTTTATTTTATAAATTTGTTTATGTAAGCTTTTTTTTCAATAGTGATTAATTTTTGGAATAGTTTATTGCATTTCACATTTTTTTTTTGTTTTATTATAGTATTCTTATTTCTAATAAAAATATATACTATACTGTATATATATAATATACATATGTACATACCTACATTATAATATTTATCATTTTATTTTTATAATCCTAAACATTTTTTGTTATACACATTTTTAATTTATTTCGTCTTTATTTATAGGACATTTTTGCACTTTTCAATTCTTATTTACGAGTTTTATATATATTTACTTATATATACATCTTTTTACACATTTATTTTTTTATATATTTCCGGTATTTTACATATTTTAATGCTTTTAATGTTTACTCTATTTTTCTTTTGTTTACTTGTCCTTAATATTTTTTATTTAATTAATTTTTATTTTATCATTAATATTTTCATTCGGTTTTTTTTTTGTTTTAATTTTATATGCAGACGTATTTATTTATTTCTTGAATTTTTCATATTTATTTTATTATTAAATATTACTTTTTGTTAGCTTTTTTTATCATAAATACATATGTAGGTATTTATTCATTTCATTAATTTTTAATATTTACTTTATTATTCATATTTTTATTTGTTTTTTTATCTCTTACATACATATGCATTTACTTTGCGGCTTATTTATTACTTAGTGCCATAACTTACCAACATATTTGCTCGTGGTCGTTGAATATTCGCCGTGTACATTGTTCGTATTGCCGAAAACCTGGCCCATGTTGATTGTTTGTTTTTATTTTGGTGTTTTTGCTTTGTCGCTTTTTGTAGCGCGGCTCCGCTTATTGTTAAATAATTAAACTGTTTTGTTTTCGAGAAATTTTCTTTCACAATAAATGTCTGCTTTCTGAGTCTTTGCTGCGCTTTACGCTTTTTTTTTTATCAAGCAAAAAATGATTGCCTCTTCTTACTGCCTTTGTTTGTTCTTTGTCTTATCGAAGGTAGGTGCTACGTGCGCGAAAAAAATATTATTAAAGCGGTGAAAAAATTTACACATGCTTACGAACTCACACACACACACACATATGTGTACATTGTTTGTCTGTAAGTATGTTTGTTAGCAAAAAGAAATATAACTCGTTCATGGCCGCCGTGGCTATATGAGTCTCGCACTCTACTCGCGATCCCTCGAAATAAATACGCAATTCTACGCCGACTGTGCCACGCCCCCTGGCACCTCACAGCACCAGCGCCATCTCGCTTTACTAACGCAAGCACACATATATTTACTGCTAACAACTGATCGATGCGTTGCCACACCGCGCTCAAGTCGTCAGCGTGTGTTTTACAACCCGGCCAATTTTAATCCTTCACATCGCAGTCGCCTTATCTTATGCAAACACTTCGCCGCGAATATAACACATGTGGGAAAATACAATCGGCCGCACACACACACACTCATGCACACGCTTACCCATGCGGGAGACACATGTAAAGCGTTGAATAAACAAACTGAAATAGTTGAACGGCGACAAAGGCGGGGTGGCTGGTGCACCAGGGCGTTACTGGCCGAACAGACGGACGGACGGGCTGCATGGGCACACGGGCGTATGCGGATATATACAGACATGCGCTGCATTTAACGCAGCCACCACACACAGTGAATAAGTCACTAGCTGACTGCCGGACTGGTTCGTCAACAACTCCGTCGCAGCACCACGCTACGCCGAAAGCGAAAGCTCCGTTGGTGCTTGCATCGGTTGTATATATTACTATGCTATATATGTATGTACTATATGTACATACATATGTAATTATAAGTATGTTTGTATGTCGGCACTCAACCCTACCCGGTTGTGCTTTGTTCTGTCAGCGTTCAAGTGAATGATTGGCCTTTTGATTGTTGTTGTTGTTGCTTTATAATTGCATGACTGCGTTATAGCGAACGAACGCCTTGCTATCTTCCTGTTTAGTAGCCGCTGTTCAACGCTCCCAAAAAAAAACAATAATAATGTGACTCAATGGCGCGAGTGTCAAGTGAGCTCCTTTGTGGACGCGCTTCCCGGAAAAGTCTACATCGCGTGTGAGTAGCGGTAAAGCGAAATTGTGTAATGGAGTGAGCACAACATAATGACTCCGCTGTCACCGGTGGCGCGGTAGGTCAAGCACCAAAACCGGAGCAACAACACCAAAAAACGGAATAAATACTAAATTAATGCTTCGAAGCGTCGAATGACGTGCAATCGAAACGTTTGCGTCAAATTGTCGGCGGGCATTGCACTAAATTAGGAAATTGAATTCAAGTTTTTTTTTCACGGCAAATAACACTATGTATATATATATGTATATGTATGTGTGCATGCTGCATTTGTTAGCAATAATCATTGGCATTTACGCACTATTAACGAATTCACAATTGCGTAGATCTGTTTTCTATTCTCGCTACGTCAAAACACAGAAAATGTGTGTGTGTGTGTGTGTATGTGAGAAAACACGTTAAAAATTCACTTTTCAAATTGTTAAAATCCGCTGTGAAAAATCGAATTTTTCGCACTCGAATATTCGCTGATCAACTCGGCATGTATCAACTGACTGACTGCCAACTGACTATTTGTGGTGACTACAGCTGTCATGAGTATGCTGCTGTCAGCTGCGCTGCTGCTGACGCGGACCTGTTTGGCTGGCTAGCTACTCGCTTGCTGGTCTGGTTGTGTAGCCGACACCGTGTACGTATTTCTTCTTTTCGACACACACTAGTGAGCGCCTAAATGCCTGCTCCGCGCGCCCCTCAGAAGTTTGTTCGTTTGCTAGCTAGCCACCCTTGCGTCTAGTACGAGCGCTCGGGCACACGCATCACAGCGGAGCACTCTACAAATCAAAGAATCAGCAGCGCTGCGATTGTCTGTCTATATCGCTAGATATGTAGTAGTGTATCTACAAGTATATATACCATACATATGCAATTATATTTATAAATACATATATATTCAAATATTTGTGAGCATTTCCACCAATTTGGTTTGTGGTTTGCTGTGGGTACGAGTTCTGTGGTGTGTATCGGTGAGTTGCACAGTGGGATAAATGTGAAATTTTATTGTAAACAAGAAAAAACGTTAATTTTGGCTAAACCAAAGCTATAATACGCTTTATTTCAATCGCTCAAGTTTTTTGGCAGCATATATGCTATAGTGGTTCTAACTGAACAATATGTTCGGAAATTGGAGCATTATCTTGGAAAATAATATATGCCAAATTTTGTGAAGATATTTTGTCAAATAAAAAAGTTTTACATACAAGGGCTTGATTTTGATCGATCAGTTTATATGGCAGCTATATCCAATTGTGGTCCGATACCGGCGATTCCGGAAAATGAGCGGCCGCTTGGGGAGAAAAGAACGTGTGCAAAATTTCAGATCGATATCTCAAAAACTGAGGGACTAGTTCGCGTATATACAGACGGGCGGACATGGCTAGTCAGCTTGTCAAGCTGTTCACTTTGTATATAATTTATGGCGTTTCCGGCGTTTCCTTCTGGGTGTTCCATACTTCATGGCAAACTGTTCCGCGTAAAAAAATGTAATGGCATCAAGCTGAGAGCCATAGTAGTTAACTTCCAGAAGTAGCTCTTATCTAAAGCCTGGATTTTACACGAAATTTAAAATATGACCGTAAGAATGCATGCAATAGAGTCGGCCAACAATTGAGCAAGTAATATAATATTACTTATATTATTTGTAGAAGCCGAATATTTGATATTGTAAAAACAAAATCCAAGTTCAAGTCACCGGAACCACATTAGACCGACTTCCGGCTTTAATTTAAGCGGAAACGGATGATAGCTATCAAACGTATCAGAGACGGAGGTATTCGTATGTTTGTGGAAAGAGATGACAACAGGCTTCAATAGGAAGCCCTTTTATTATAACTGCAATGGCTTAGAGATTATAGACTATTCAAAGCAATAACTATAATATCAGTTCTAGCCTTAAAAATATGTAAGTACAGTAAGAAAACTATCGTCAATATTTTTAAAATTTATAAAGATGCTATGCTATGCTCACAGAAAATTTATAGAAAATGTGGATTGAAACCATGACGAAACAACTTGGACATATTTTCTGAATTATAAATTTTTCTGTAATAATAAAACAGTATCTAAGCTCATATACATATTTGTATAAAAATTCAAAGCATTTAACCTTTTTTAAAAAAATGGTTTTAATAAAACCTCAAATATCATTAATAATTATGATTTAATTAGTTTTTTTATATGACTTTTTAAGTTCCAAGCCGAGGGTTCTTTATCTTTAAACCAAGAGCTGCCGAGGAGTGACTTAGAAATTTTACGCTGCCACGAAACTTATTGTTATTACGAGAAGAAACCGACGGACATGATTCCGTATTTTGGTGTTTAGTGATTGTTGTTGTAGTTGTAACGACATAAAATATTCGGCAATTTATTTAGAGAAGACGATAAGTCATTAAAACCCGTGTTGCTATGTTTAAGAAGTTCAAGACCAACATCTCAGTTAACGTCCCGAAATCATTAGATTGCCATGGAAACGAGTTGGAAGCACTAAAACCGGTTTATGGAATTGGTAAACACAAGTATGCTTTAAAATGGGTCACATGAGAATATGATTTGACGCTCTCCTGTCAAATATTGATTTGAAGACATTTAAATATTACATGACCCCACAATTCTACGACACGTTTCTGTCACTGTATATGTGTGCAACAACAAAAGTGTTTTTCGAAGTGTGTATACATACAATACATAAATGAGTTAGAGTTTTTTCCGTATTAAAGCACATAGGTGTAATTAAAAAAAAAAAAATAATAATAAATACAAATTTTTACACTTTATTGAGCGAATAAACGACATTAAGAGGAACAACTCGCGATCACAATTTTGATAAGCGCACAACGAGACCAACAAAGAGCTGCTCTATAAAGTTTACGAGTTACATACAGCGCAAAGTGTATATTATTGTAAATACAAATAAATATGTACACACAGCAGTCACCAGCTGAGCCAACAAGGGACCCACGGACTTGCCAATCAGATACTATGCGCACACAATCAAGCCAACAAAATAATCACTTCAAATTGCTGTTGCTGTCGACGTCGCCTTTGCTTTTGTAACCTTTCATTTACTTCGTTTGTCATAATGCCGTTGCGAAGTTAAGGCAGTCGGCAGTGCTCATAGCTCACTTGTGGCCACCACTTAGTAAATCAATTTACCTATCGGGCCGAAAATCTATGTAAATATATTAATAGTTTTTCTTTTGTTAATTTCTGCCGTTAATTATAAGCACTTGCAGTCAACAGCTTTAACTCCTACGTTTGTAGGCATGTACATGTGTACATATATGTATAACTCCGGTTTTAAATTTTATCACTAGATTCATTAATTATACTGCTCGCTGTTGCTCTTTTATTCGCCTACCACACATAATTTCTTTAATATGTATAACAATATTTTTTGCTAGCACTGTTCGCTCAAAGCTCCGCTTTACTCGTTTGCTACACACACTTATGTTTGTTTAAATATATATTGTACTTGTATAGATATGTGTTGTCTGCTATTCATATTCTTTTCACTTTTTTTTAAACGTATTAAAACTAATGTGAATAGTGTGGCTCAGCGGCGACAAAATCAGTGACCAGCTCAACACCAATTTCGATTATGTACTTTATATGTGCAAAACTTGTCAAATCGCTAAACGAAGTATCTGCTCATAGTAGGTATACTGGCATAGAGAAGTAGTACACTGCTATTCTATTTATTCCTGCATTCGTTGAAACTCGCCGTATGTTGACTGACTGTTGTTACCTTCTTCCTGCTTTTCGCACTACTCGGCTGGCGGGCTACCTACTGTCTAATAGCACGCACGCAAGGGGGTCGTAAATGAGTTGACGGCGTTGCCAGCTGCTCGGCATCGTATTACGATGAATCTTAGGAAAGGTTCACCAGAACAAAGTTATCTTATCAGCTGCTCGTAAAAAGTAAACAATTTGAATTATTTTCCATTTAGTACTTTTTTTCCTTATTAAAATAAGGACATGTAACTTGTTTGCCAAATAAACCTTTGTATATGCGTGTGTAAAGTATTTTCTGAACAACGGCGACAAATAGTAAAATTAAATATATTTAATATAATTATTGTTGTATTAAGATAAAAACAATACTTGAGTCAACAAGGCACACGAATATATTGTCTTGAGGAAATCGAAAATTCAAGCAGTTGTAACTCCTTAGATTGAAGTTAATCATGATTGATCGCATGGAAATGGAGAGCACACTTGATTATGTCTATTTTTGTGACACAAAAGTTAAGTATAATTTTAGGAGGTTATATTTACTTTTGAATTAAAAAAATCGAGTATGGTTTTTGTTGATTGTTTCAAAAATATGAACGTATTTGTAAGAAATTTTTAGCTACGGCTACCAATACTTTAAACGCGTTTTTCTCGAAACGCTGTTTTCAGAGTCAGTGAGGAAAATTTTTCCAAAACGGCTGAACCGATCGTCTTGAAATTTTCACACGACCTTCTCAGATATATTTGATTCAGATTTTTGATAAAAAATTAGACTTTTTTGAGCCACTATTATATGCAAATATATTCACAATAAACGCCTTTTTTTAAGTCGCCATTACATATAGTTATAATACATTTTGGTTTTTGGATTTCAGATAGTTTTAAACAGAAAAATATTCCTCACCGCCAGACACTGTTTCGGAGGTCCTACTGAAAGCCGGCTACGGGATCAAGGGATTCCAAAATTTTTCAAAATTCATCGCCGATTATTAAGGAACAGTAAATTATCTTAAAGTACATTATCTTTATTTATTAAATAAAATACAGCAAAAACGCAATTTTCTGAATTGCAAATGGATATGACCACTTAATTGACTGCACAATACTTAGCATATTATAAAACTATATTTACCGTTTCAACGACAGCCGCGTCGATGTAACCGAAATGAACGCGAAATAATGAAATATCACCCCATCGACATACCCAAGAAAATCTGAGAAATTGTTTATAATACTACAACAACAAGAAGAGCAACCATATTAACTCTGATTCTTTTTATTACTTTTAGGAAGTTATAACCAACAATTAAAGAAACTTTATTAGCACTGACGATAAGTTGATTTTCCGGACTTTTTTACAGGCCATTATACGTTAATTACAACAACATTTTCACAAGAAACGTAATAGTATTTACCTAATAATATAAGCAAATAGACTTGTAAGACAACAGCAACGATTTATTGCAATGAGTCGTTAGCACTTAATTAAAGTATACGATAGATAACAGACAAGTTTATAGAAGTTTAATGTTAATTTTCCGAACTTTTCTACAGACAAACTATTGGAAACTCCGCAGTATTTTTTTTCATTATAAAATGCATTTTTTATAAAACCGTTAGTCATCGCTCAACATAACTCTGTATGACACCTGGTATATAATTTGTCATTGACATGTCTATTGTTTTTTTACCATAGTGATACAAAAGTAGTGATAAAAGAAATTCACTTACCATTAAATGACCAAATGTGCGATGGTAGCGATGTAGCTGTGTAGACGCGACCAATACCGCTCGCGCCACTAGATGAGGATGCCGCCAATGCAATGCTCTCCACAAAATTTGTGCCCGTTGCAGAAACATCCTGTAGATCTTCAAAGTTGAGTGTATGAGAATGTGGTGCGCTGACCATGCCACGGCCGCTATTACCGCTACCGTTACCGCCATTCAGCATCAGTGTGTTGTCGTGAAATGAGCTACTACTGACCGGCACACTGACACGAATACTACCCGAACCCATAACATCACCACCAAGCGGATAATGCGGATGTTGCAAATAATTGGTGGCAACTGAAGAATGTGCTTGTGAGGTTACACCAAATGCATTACTACTTGGCGTTGTACCGACCGCTGGATGCGTATGCGGTCCACCAGCGACACAGGCTGCATGTGAGTTGCCATGTTGTTGATTGTGAATATCCGGCACTGAGCTCAAACTACGTGCACGCTGTCGATCGATGCTTGAACTCTGGACATGATGTTGCACCTGTAGGCTGGGTAATGTACGCAATAAGTTAAAGCCTTGACCACCATCTGCGCTGCTATTGCTGGCGACTTGTGCAGCGTCCGTTCCAGTTGAGCTGCTGGAAAAGGTACGCGAACGTGGGCTTTGGCCGCTGGCTGTCGGTGTACTTGCCTTAGCGCCCATTCGTTGGGTTTCACTTTCGTTCTTCTCGAATTGGTGTAATGGTGAGCAGTTTAATTTTCGTATGAAACAAGATATATATATACGACTGGCGATTTGTGCGATAGAAATTTATATTGTGAATATCGAAAAGGATTTTAACGCCTCCAGTGCGTCATTAGAAATGTTTACTTAGTCCATTTATAATCACTTTGCGAACCACAGCAAACGCGTGTGTTTTGGACAATCAGCAGTCAAGTTCTTTAGAAAACTAGCATTAAACACGCTGCGGCAAAAGACTTTGTTGGTGAGGATATTGACCTGTTTAGAAGAGTGGGCACAGAGTCGCTAACCGGCGTTGTTTACAGATTACTCAGATTCCAATAGAGTGCGCATTGACATCAAACAAAGGAAAGTAACTAACCTTTGTGTACGTTATAAATACAAATGGTGTGAGTTTGGTGGTGACGTGCGTCTTGTCTCCTTTATTTAGTAAGATGAAATGTGTGCGTTTTTTATGTGTTCTTGATCAGTTTTTTTGACTGCAACAAAATGAAATTGCAAGCGACAGCTTTTGTCAGCAATATCAAACTTAGATGGCTTTATCGACAATTACAGAAAAGCCGTAAATTTTTGAACGCTTTAAAATAACCTATTTCTTGCCGAAAACAATTTGCCAATTTAATGATTATGAGTGCCCTCTTATGAGCTATCATTGACACCGCTGATGTGCTGTTGCCTCTTACACCACCGTCGCCTTCGTTTTTGTTGCTGCTCCACTGCTAGTTATTTCGTTAATTTGCTGACCGTCTGTTTTTCTGCTTTGAGTTTTGTTGCTGAATATAGAATAACTTCTTTTTACTAGTCGTACTTCACGTTTTCACTAACTTTGACATTTGCTTTTAAATTTTGTATGCGGTTCGTGCTTTTTGTATTACTTTTTTGTTTTTATTTTGCTTGAAATTTTTCAATTTACGGAGGAAACATTTGGTTAATTTACGAATTCTTTGTATTTTTTTAGCAAAATTTGACAGCCAGTCGACATTTTTCGGTAAAGACAGAAACGAAATTGACATTAACGGCGTTGCCAATTTGCGTTGTAATGTGAAATTCGCAAACAAAAGATATGCAGTAAAATATTTATGATTGCAAAGAATATAATTGATTATTGACGAAATATAGTTTAAATAAAACACAGTTCTTCATTAATGCTTACATTTCTTCATTAATGTTGTAGACATGGATTCGCTACATTGTTTCTGTGCACTTCCGTTTCGTATTGGCATAACGAAATAGCACATCCGCCATGTTCAGCCGACCATTGTGAAAATGGCGAGAAAAGGAAATGCGCAGATTTATAGTGCATTTCCCTTTTTGTATTGAAAATTAATTTAAAAATGTAAATTATTTTAAAGTGAAGTGAAAATTTTGCTTATATTTAATACTCTGAAATTATATGAAAACCATGTGATAAAGTATTTTATAGAAATATAAATAATTTAGCTGCTTAATTTCTTTAGTAGTCTTCAATTGAGTAAGTTTTTATCATAGAATTTCCATACGAACGAGGTTTTTTTCATAAAATTTGGACTATATATAACTTAGAAAATGTATACGCCAGCAGGAGATGATGTAGCACCAAAGAATTTAACCCAATTGTTTCGGATTATGCCGTTTTAGAGACCCCACATTAACGGATATAAATCCTAATCCATTTCATAAGAGCACGTTTACCTGAGGACCGAAAATTTATCAGATGTGGGGCAATTTTACAAACCACTTTCAAAGCATTTAAAATCAGGATAAAAAGGCCGATTATTTACCAGAAGCAATGCAATTTATTTAGTTTTGTCCAGGAAAAAGCATTTTGCTCTGTATTTTATACATATACACACATGAATCCGATAATATAATACAGACACTGCATACACCTCATATTCAATAAAACTCTTTGCCGACTTTTTAATTATTCTTTTATTTCCTAAAAATTGCTTACAACATTAATTCCACTAAATTTTAGGATTGATTAAGAGCAAAAATGTCACTTAAATGCTGTCTTAAAGATAACAACAACTCATCGAAAGCAATCTCGTTTTGGAAGGTTGCTTCCAAATATTTAATATTATAAAATTTCGAATAATAAAACACTATTCTCATAACCAAAATTATCGAATGCTAAATAATTGATTAGTAAAAATAAGGTGCACTAATATTGCAAATAAATTGTTTTTTTTGTTTTGTATTGCAGAACAGTAAATAAATTGCAACTTAACGAAATCTCGAAATATAAATATAAATATATTGACAAAGTACTGTTAGTTTATATATGTGTACTCTCAATTTAAAATATTACTGAAAACACCATTTCTTCTTGTTCGTCGTTTCACAAACGTTTGTACGCAACAATTATTTCTTTTATTTTTACTGTAGGGACAAAATAATTGCTTTTTCCGTTAGTTTCTAAAAGTCCGAATTGCTGTACGTACTTCATGTATATTGCAAGAATTAGTTATATAATATATATGTTTTATTTAGCTTTATTGCAAATTAAAATTCATTTACTGTTTACATGTATGTATGTGTTGTACATATTTGTATTAAGAAGCACGTCGGCGTGTAGAATATATTACCATCCGCCTTGAAAGTAAAATGAATAAAATTTTAGTAATTTAATTAGCATTATAATTTGATTTTTTGATTATTTGAACTTTACATATACATAAATATGTACCATTACGGTTATTTATATATGTTTTTTATCAGAAAATTATTATTGTTTTGGAAAACGCGTTTATTACTGCCGTCTTTATGATTTTTGTTAATGTTTTTTTTTCTTTTGTAGTTAGCATTGGCGCGGCGCGTTGTTTTTTGTATAGCTATAAACTATAGATAATAAGAATTATAATAATGATAATATCTATTATGTGGTATAGTCGGTAATTGTTGTTGTTGTACACCAACGTATTCCTTGCGTTGATGCGGATTTTGAAAGTTTTGTTTTGACAACTTCATTATGTTTTTAGTCTGTTTGTGTTGTAACTGAAATTGTTTCTGTTGCTGCATTAAGATTTGTTGGTGTTGTTTGAAACGCATTTTCGGTGTTTGTTAGCATTGTACTTTGCCATATTGCGCCCGACGTTCCAACACTTCACGATACTCTTTATAATTCATTTGAATTTCTTGTGAGCGATAACGTGTCAACTTGATTGATTTTCGAGTTTCCGGGGTGATTGCTGCACGGTAGCCCCCCTTCCTGAGTAGAGAGTCTATGGTTTGGGTTTGATCCCAACCTGTGTAAATAGGAAGCAACGTTAATATAACTTTCTGTAGAAATTTTTTTTTTCAAATTCATGTGTTTGTTGTTTTTTCGTTAGCTCACCTTGTTCAGTAGCCACTTGTGGCAAATAAGTAGCAGTCCTCTTGTAACCACGTTCATTCAAAAATTCAATACGTATGCCATGTACGCCTAATGTCCAATCGAGATACCCGTGAGCCTCTTCGAAATTTTGTAAAATCGATACAGACACAGTCAATTTGGGTAACTCTTCCCTCGCGATGGGCGCAAAGCGCGAATCTTTTAAAGCACTCGTTAATGCATATTCACGAAGTCCATTGTGCAAATGCATGGCACTGAATGTACCAATACAACCGCGTAATCGCTTATCACGCCCTGTTTTCCAAGTTACAAATAATGGGCTGCAAAAACGATAATCATCATCACATTTTACATAAAATTTATATCAAGCTAGCACTTACTAAGCATCATTTGTGAATTTGGGTGTACCAGGCGCTTCTATATTGTTCAGCTCACAGTCAAGCACCTCAAAACAAAATATACACATGTCAGGCACCGCCACATTGTCCAATGGCTTCACACTATAGCCATTTGTGAGACGATTTGAGCCACCACCGCGGCGATAGCAATCACCATCCTCGCCACAATCACCGTTTTGTAGGTGATGTGGCCGTAGTCCATTCATCTGTTGTGATGTGCTTGAACCGCGGTAACTGTTATGGTGCTGATAGTTATTTGACATTATTGTGCTTGGTGTAACTTTATGCGTTTTACCCTCAAAAATATTTAGACAAACTGAAATTTTGTATTCTTCACTCGTTGCGTTTAATTTTTTTCTTTTATAACAACAATGCTACCCAATGTGGATTGCAGGACCTTATATATATATTTATAGTAGTTAATATTTATTTTAATTTTATTGTGGACGCAGACTGTGCTAATGTCACGATCTGCTTTTGTATTTGTTGCAGGACTAAACGATTACGCTATATTTTTTATACCGCTAAGATGTCTAGTAGTAATGGCAGTGCGTAACTTGATGATGTGAATCTATAAAAGTTGTAACCTGTAAATATAGAGAATTTCAATTAGTTTATTTCAATATTTACATCATTATCGTCTCAATTAAACTTAGCAATTGAACGAAGAGTGATCGTACGTAAGTTCAACTAAAATATGTATCCTACAAATGCAGTAGTCTTAACAGTGCGTAATATCATACAAAAAGACCAGCCGCGAAGCACGGCGTAGACAAGCAAATTTCTAAATCACCAGTTCAGTTTCCTATGCTTTGTTTACGAATACTCGTTTGCACTGCATTACTTGACGCAATGACAACAATAACAAGAGACTAGCATTTTGTATCAGTCATAGGCCTTTGTACAGTGAGTTTCACAGTTTCAGTTTCCCTACACTTCTCTCCCACTCTTATCTGGCACACGATTTAATCGTCTGTTGGTCCGATCAGCACGTCTATCTTTGGTCCATTCCCGTTTGGGTGCAGCTACTGCATTTAGTTAAATGCTGATTTTTTTATTTGTTCATAGCACAATCACCTCATTCTCTATATTTACAATTATCACTTTCTATCTGCATTTGACATTCTCTGGCTTCATTCGATACTCGACACATTTGACCCCTTGCTCTCCCCGCACACACATATAAACACAATTATTCAATTCTTCACATCTCTTCTTCCTTGTTACTACTCCTCTTTTAGCCATTGGCACACACACATTTTTCTTCGACTGCGACTTCCACAACTGCTTCCTTGAGTTTTTGCACTTCAACTCATGTGAACTTTGACGAAATTTTGTTGCAAATTGTATTAGAAATTTTGATCACTCACAGAAAATATATGAAAAAATTATTAGAAAGCAGTTGCCAAATACTTTTCTTTATCGTTCGCTCGCAAATCCGCGTCGTTCGCAGTGTGAGTGACGAATGAAGAAAATATGACAAATGTCAAAAATACTAGCACAACCGAGGGTTGCATTTGCGTGAAGCGGTTACTTGGGCAGTTGATCCGATTATTGCACAAGAATTTATTACACTAGGAACATTGCTACGATAATTAGCATATAATATATAATTATATAAGAATATTGGGAGTAATAGCATTATAATTAATATATCTATATATAAATAAATAATTTTTGAAAATGCTTTTTACTAATTAATAGTGGTGTTTTTAATATTTTTTTAGGGAAAATAGTCGCCTTAGTTTTGGTTGTTTTAACGTTTATCTAATCTCCATATATATCCAATAATTTAATTATAATATCCTGAACGCGGTGCATTAAGTTTGCCACGAAGTACAAGTACGTAACACCCTATAAAATATAAGTATAAACAAATGATCAGCGTGATCAGTAGATTTATCCCTGTTCGTCTGTCTGTTTATACGAGAACTAGTCCCTCGGTTTTGGAGATAACGATCTGCTGCCATACATACTAACCGAGAACTTTTTTATTTGACGAGATATCTTTCCCAAATTTGGCATGGATTATTGTCCAAGGCAACAGTATAATCTTCGGACAAATTATTCAAATCGGACTATTATAGCATACATATAGCTGGCATACAAACTGACCGCTCGAAAACAAATTCTTGTATGGAAAACTTTTTTATTTTGATCAAAATATTTAAAAAAATTTTTTTTTCCTTCTTAAGTAAGTTTAATTCGACTTGAAGCTCGTTTATATCAAACAACTTGGCTAAATAGTACTAGGTAAACGTTTTTCGTTGGATGCAAACCGTTGACCGGTTACGACTTCAAATTTAATTATGGGGTATGTTCAAAAAAACGGGAACAATAATGCTGTCATATGCTCGTAAATATAGTTTCTATAACAAACGCATCTGTGAAGGGTATTATAACTCCGAAGTTGACGTTTTTGCTTGTTTGAACTTCTACCATTAAAGGACAGCATTCTTAGGGCACCCTATATTTTGTAATGAATGTATGGAAATTTGCGAAAAATGTTCATTAAAAAATACGAGTCATGGATGTGAGCTATGTATGTGGTCCTCTGCTTAACTACTTACGCACAGGCACTTCGACACTTATGCACCTAAGCCAAGGTGTGATCTTAAAAATCAATGCAGATGTGCGCCTGCGGATCAACCAAACTTGACTTAAATAACAAACGAATTACCACTTGCAGATGCCATAAGTTCACCGTGGCGCGTCGTAGACGTCCTGGCAGCAGACGAAACGACATAAAGGCTGGAACGCAGCGCTGGCAAACTGAAATGTCCTATAGCCAATCGGAGCCAAAGCCAATGTGCTAATACATTTGCAACTTGTTGCGCTTAAACGGCATTTAAGTCAAGCAACAACAATAGCAACATCGTCGAAATGACACTTAGCCAGACTAGCTAGCGCAGCGATTACACAGCGTTTCACACAATGTGTCAGGCACCTTGAAACAATAGGCCGACCAACTGTGCTTTGAGTGTTTCGTCGCACCCAAGCATTGTCCGCCTCCCTCGGCCATCCACCATACGCCGGGCATTTTCAAGTGTCCTGCCATTGTTTTGCGCCGCACCGCGTCCAGCTAAGCGCTGGTACTCGAACCATTCACCACACATACATACATACAAACATAGTGTACGGCTGTTCATGCGGCACAATAGTATTTGCTTAATAACCACTCGAGTTTGTAAGGCGTAGAGAATCACATAACGACGGCGAACAATAACACACACTCGAAAACGCTGCGGGTACGCTAGTAATTGACTACGCAGACGCAGACGATGAAGACGAGGACGATCTTGAAGATATGAGAGATCAGGACGAAACCTACGTGTCTACACGGTTCGGCAAAATACACACAAGAGAAATCAGCAAAAAATGACAACACACAGCGTAGAACAATGGAGCAACGTTGGAACAACGTTGGTATGTGAATGTATGTGTGTGTGTGTGTGCATATAGTAAATGTAATACACGGCAATTCCAGTGAAATGTTCAAGGACCTCAAGGAGCATGAATCAAAGGTGAGCTGCAATGAAGTGAGCAATTGTACTACCTGTCAGACACACACACATACACACGCACACGCGATGAGATTTTAGTGTAGTGTAAGCAGCAACAAACAACAACAACACAAATGGCAACGGTAAACAACAACATATGTATGCATATGCACAGTTGCATTGGCTTTCCGACTAATCGCTAGCAACAATAGCAACAACAACAACAAAAGTAGCAGCAGATATGTAGTCATAAGCACACACATACATACAAACAATATTTGTATAGTACATTTGTAGTATTTATCTGCTACACGCCGAGGTACTCGAGAACTAGTTAGGACATTTTCGCTGAAAGAATAACAAAAACAAAGTTGTATTCTACGAAGCCTTTGTTAGACCGAGAAGCGCCACAGTAATTGCAGATGCATTTTCAATTCATTTGCGTGAGGGAAAAACCATTCGCACGACGACTACCAACTGCCGACCGTCGACTGTTGACATGCCGATTGTGAATCGTCGATTGCAGTGCGAAAATGCGTAAAGGGTGGGGATGGACTTCAAATGCATTGTTGTTTTTGTACGTGTGTAACTATTATACTGCGTGCCGTTACTCGTAACCGATTCCACAAATCATAAATATTTTCAGTGATGGGAAAGTATAATTTGTTGTTGTTGTTGCGTTCATTAACAATAAAATACGATTCAATTGGGTCAAATGTAACAACATTTCATGCATAGTTGTTGTAAATAATGATTTTTTTATCATTATGTCAATAATGTGGTCCGTGGCAGGTGTTTGGCCGGAATACCACTCCAATTTGGAAAGTGAGAGCTCTAGTATTTGTTCAAGTTTAGAACATTATAAAAAACTCCAAAGAAATTATGGTTTTTAATGGGAATTTCTTTTCTCAATATCTGAAATTCCCACGATGAGTTCAGTAACAAACTAACGGTGACAAATTTGAGGTTATGGTGGAAAGAAAGAGTACTTAGTGGACAAACGTAGTCCAGGCAATAAGATTCACTTTGATTCGTCCACATGGCGATGTGATTTAGGCTTTGTATAAAATCTTGCATGCATCTCTATAACTGTTCTTGAAAGGTATATAAATTAATATGAGTGGAGTTATATTGTATGTGGTACTATGAAAAAAATATATCTTTTTTCAAAATTGATTTCAGAGCAGAGCGCATTTCTTCATTAAATGCGCAAAACTCAGCGCTGAGAGCTGTTCAAATGAATCCATTTATTGCAAATAGTTAGGTAAAGGCCCGAGGTTGTATGGGCAGAAAGAGGTTGAAGAGAGGCAGATATTCGTCAAATAATTTTGAGGACTGCTCCCGAGTCGAAAGTCCTTGGCCGGATAAGAATCTGGAAACGATGGGGTTACGTAGACCCGATAGTCATGAGAACGGCCTCACTTCTATCTCCTTTTCATTTTATGAAATTTCCATGACCCGAAAATTCTATATAAGGCCTCGCCATTTACAGTAAGGTGTAGAAGATTGGTTCCGTCGTTTTGTTTATTTGTTTAAGTTCAAAAATATCGATTGCTTCTGCTGAAAAGCTATCCTGACTTCCAGTTTTCTCATGATCTCATTCTCTTCAGGTACTCGGTTCGACTTATAGCTTTAACGTTGACTATTTGGCACGAATATGATGCTCCGAAAACGGGATAGTTTTCTGAGGAAGTTTCTAAATTTCTGAATCGATCAACAGACAAGAAAAAATGCGAACTTCAGTTGCACCGTAATTAGAATACCTTTCCCATATATAGAAGTTTTCATATAAGAACTTGATTTTGATCGTTCTTCTACATGCTATAGTGGACGGATCTGGAAGTTTCTTCAGACATTGTGGCGTTGTCTTGGACAATAATCCCTGGTATGCTGTCAAATAAAAAAAGTTTTTCATACAAAATGATATCTCTAAAACTGTGGGTTAGTTCACATATATAGAGACAGGTGGACAGATAGACATACATGGCTAAATAAATTCAGCTCGTTACGCTGATCATATACGAGTAGTATAATACAAGTATATATTATATAAGTATTTAAAAGGAGCTTAGACGTTTCTCAGGGTATAAAAATAACAAGCTTTTAGGAGTCTTATTTACTGAATTATAATTTTTCATGAGTGTGATTCGAAAGCTGTCTTTCTTTTACCTTGGAAAACTAGCAGAACCCAATGAGGTTAAATATCTTAATAGATTCACCTTTGCCGGAGACATATGAATGGGAATCTAAGGATCCAATTATATCATATACAAGTATATATGTTGGGGTCAAATTTAACTTCTTTTTTAAACCAATTGAACCAGGAAACTAATTTACATACATATTTATATATATGTGTATATGTATATTAGAAGAATGAAGCGAACAGGTCTGCAAGTCTGGAAAAGACAAATTTCGAGATTTTCGTCAAAGTAAACTCTATTTGATTCAGTCCACGAAGATGTCCCGTAGTTATTTGAAATCTGAAAATCAGGCGATGCGGCCAAGAATGATCGAATATAGTATTCGATTTTCGTGAAGGAAAGATTGTCTGTATTTCTTTAGTTTTGAGGTGTGATCAAAGAACAATAGAGTTCCTACAACATGAACTCTTTTTAATATTTGCGAATTCAATGCAGTCCTCCTATTAGAAATAAATATTACTTGTAGTTTACCTCAACGGAACTTCATTAACTTTAATGGCTTGACCAAATTAAATAACTAGGCAAAGAAAATGCAGCCACAACCCTTTTCTTCTGAAATGTAGCATGCTCAACATGTCGCTATATTGGAGCGTAGAACTCTTTTTTGAGCAGTAGCGGCAACGCGCTTACTCATGCCGCGAGCGACGCCAACGCATTGGTCTTCTCACACTACATATCTATATGTTCGTACGTGTGTGCGCACCTAGACTGGGGCAAATGTGTTCGTTTGTTGAGCATGAAACCGGCGCGAGTTCACTTTACGCCATGCGGTTGCCGCGAACACGACTACAAGTACATTCTCCACTAGGCGGCTCATGTGGAGCACGAGCACGAGCGCAAGCCGTACGCGTCGCCAGCAAAGCGAGTGAGGGCGCGCGACTCAGTGTGGTCGAAAGCTCCCACCGATAATGTCGTGCTGTGAGTGAGCTGCTGCCATATGAG